AGGATCATATTTTAATTTGACAGCAAAGAAATTTAATTTATGTCCACAAAACATGAATGTTATGATATATCTGGTGTAATGAGATGATATGAACCTGGCAAACACCTAAACGGACTAAAAGGACATTTCTGCCATACAGTGAATGACAGCTGACGTGATTCTCACCTGACACAAAAATGAACTGCCCCTCCTGCCTTCATTCCCTCCCTAGATTATTAATTAATCACACATTGGTTTTGCTGAGCACGAGCACACAACACATCCTATCATCCTCTTTTTCTTCAGATTAGCTATGATGATGTTTTTAAGCTTACCAAGAATACTCGATTGTGCGCATGTACTCTTTGTTTTTTGTATGTTTTCAAGCGGGACAGTCAGAGCGACTCCCTTTCAGCCAAATCATCTTCATGACGTCCCTGAAGTTTTGTATTTCTGTATCTCCCACAGGATTGTGTGGCTTGTTTAAACATTTCTATTTCATCCCTCATCTGAATTATGCACCTTTTCTTCTACTACACATATATTACAGCTAATTACACTGCCGATTCATAAAATTAAGATATAAAATATGATGTAGTGTTATAGCTTAAGGAGTGGGACAGTAACAGGTGTTTCTATTATTCATTCAGTAAAAAGCAGCCTGCCTAATAAGTTTTACAGTCTCTGACCCACATATGAAAAATACTAATGTCAAACATTTATAATGCTTTCAACATTTTTTAGGATAATTTATGTAAATTATGTACCAGCTGGTTTATAATTAGTTCTGTGGTAAACATTAACATTTGTTAACAATAGTTTTATTTGTCAATGACAGATCTATGATTGGCAGAACATAAGAAGTTAATGCTGAAGATGAATGCTCTTAGTCTCCTTCTTTGTTGCTTTGGTTCAGTGAAATACTGTGAATGGATTAAATGTTTAATGTTTGCTTTTCTTGCCAAGATCCCAGCCGGCACAAAAGGCAAGTCACCTGTACACACAGTATTAATCTAGCAGATGGATCACTATATTAGAAAATGGATTTGACAAACTTTAATGTCACAAAGATGTAAATAAGTTATCATTAAATATAAAGAAAACAAAATTAATTATTTTTGGCACTAGACAAATGAAAAATGTATCTAAAATCAGGGTTAATGGAATTGAAATTGAAAGAGTGTACGAAAATAAATTTCTTGGAGTGATAATTGATGATAAGCTGAGTTGGAAGTCTCATATAAACCATGTGAAAACAAAAATGTCAAAAACCATTGATATTCTCTATAAAACAAAGCATGTCCTGAATAAAAAATCCTTATACACACTCTATTGTACTCTGTTGCTTCCATATATGACTTACTGTCTGGAGATATGGGCTAATGCATATAAAACAAACACTCTTCCTATTTTCAAGTTACAAAAAAGAGCTATAAGAATTATAAACCAATCAAACTATATAGAACCAACTAACATTTTGTTTATTAATCTGAATACCCTGAAATTTTATGATTTAGTTGAATATAAAATGGCACAGATAATGTATAAAGCACAAAATAACTTGCTTTGCCCCAGTACTCAGAAGCTGTTTAAAGTCAGAGAGTCAATATGACTTAAGGGGAACAGATTTCTTTAAAAAAAACAAGATAAGGACAAATATAAAGCAGAGATGTGTTTCTGTTAGAGGAGTTAACCTGTGGAATAGTTATGACAGTGATTTAAAAAGGTGGAGTTCATTTTCCTTGTTTAAAGATATGTTTAAAAATAGAGTATTAGAAAAATATATATATCAAGAATGAAAAGAGCAAAAAAACAACAACAAAACAACTCTTGATTCTTTTGCTTTGATGTAGTTACTTATCTAAGGTGGAAAGGTTTTTTTGTTTTGTTTTGTTTTTCTTGTTTGTTTGTTTGTTTTGTTTTTGCTTTGTTTTATTCTTTGCGTCGAGCCCTGTGTACAGGAGCTGCATGCAAAAAGATCTTTTGTTAAAAGGGTTGGCGTAATAAGCAAATGCTTCAGCCAATACCTTTTGATTAGCCTTGTCTCATGCTTTCTTGCTTTGTGGTAAATCTTTGTTCTGTCTTCACTGAGATATTTGAATGCTAATCAATAAAACATCACTCACTCACTCACTCACTCAAAGATACTATTTCATAGAGAGATAGGATTCAGGTATTATTTTATTTATTATAAATAAAAAACAACAGAAAGTATTTCTGTAAAAACCCAACTGATGTTTCACAGTGTTGATAACAGCCACTTTGAGGGTAAAGGAGTAAATACAAACCAACGCTCACATCCAGAACAGCAACAACAACAGAATCCGACTGCTTTAAGGTTTCTGTGGCACTTTTCTACTTGGCTTTTTAAAGAGGGAGAAGTGGTATTTCAAAGACACCTCACACAATAACTGTACTTTATATTACACATTTACACAGCACTGTCAACTTGGCGACTGACCTAAGAAATCTGGTACATTCAAACGCAGAAAACAGTGTCGTGAGGTGAAGTCAATGAGCGTCAGATAAGCACAAAAGAATAAAAATGGTTGAATCCTGCACGTGGACCTCTCACTTTAGGATTGCCTTGCCTACAGTAAGACACTTAAAGGTGCAAATTGGAGAAGCTGCAGGAAAACGACATTTTTTCCACTTGGATTGACGTTTAAAGAAACTTTAGAACGACACACAAACACATTACAGGATTTCTGACACACATCTTTAACACTTTACACTGTGGTGGTCTCCAAACGAGTTTAAGGCATTATTATATGGCAGCTGCCTTAAACCAAATGTCTTGATCAATGCCGACAGGAAACGCTTTGAGTACGGCAACACTGTAATAAGGGAATGCTCGCGAAATACTGCAAATTCTCTTTTAGCTGAATTCCAAATTTTCAGAATGCAAAGGAAAAAAAACATTGATGTAAAAACATTCAAATAAAAAGATACAGACTGATTAACGTTTCCCAGGCTTCCATTTTTTCCTTAAATCTGCAATTTTTGTTTATTATGTGGAAAAAACATCAGTATTATATCACTGCTACACACAGTAACTCATGTCATGTGTCCTTTGCAGACGTGAGGAATTCTTACAAGCAAAAAATGGAAGTTGGGTCAAAACCAAACTGACTTTTTGAATTTTAGCAATTTCCAATATAGTGCTTTTGATTAATCTGCGATATTCTTCCTAACATGAAGATTAGGAGCAACGCAGCATTGATTGGAACATTTTCCAGCCAAAGGAGGCTGGATTCAAAAACATTTCACAAACTTTTTTCTTTTTAAATGCACTTTTCCTTCCATTAAATAAAACTTGATGCATCAGGATCAGTTTACATGAGGGAAAAATAAAGAGATTCAAAGTGCAAAACTACAAATAACAAAACACGATCTTCTCAGAGGCACTCCTGTTGAAGGGCTGCAAGTAAAGGTGCTTCACCAGTGACAAAAAAGATATATTAAGTGCTACTTTCCATGGTAACGTTTATAAGTGGTGTCAATGGTACATAATAGAAGTCTCTAACTGGGTCATTAACATAAATAACTTCCATATGAACTCTAAATGTAGATTGTAAACAAACAAAGAAAAGAAAAATCAGCCTCCTTGAAGTGACTTCTTTCCACTGGCAGTGATGTACCTGCTCAAACTATAACAAAGGAGCACATGGAAGACTCAACCTGTTCTTTTAAAACCACCAAGAGTCCAATTTTCACTAAACAAAGGGTTCAGGTATAAAAATGGGGAAACTATAAAACTATTTGAAAAGGAGGACTGTTATATGTTCAACGTCTTCTGGAATGTTTTCTTCACTGTGTGAAGTGACAGGATAAGGTCAGAGTTTTGGGATATGTTGTTGTACAGCTACATTTCAGGCATTTGTCTTTCATTTCTCCTTGAACTTCAATCCGACTGACCGTTCTGGCAGCTTTTTAAATACAGTTCATCCTGTGAAAGATGTCCGTCGAAGCCGTCCATGTACAGGCTGCTGGTGCTGCTGCCACTGCTGCCCAGGAAGGTGCCGACTGCTCGGCCCTGACGAGCGTGCCCGACGGCGTCGCTGAACACTTTGTTGATCTGCTCCTCAGAGGGCATCCACCAGTCTGGGTTTGAGGCACAGTGCATCCGGATAAACTCTGGCAAGATTAGCAATTTAAAAAATTTATTTTTATTTAATTTTTTTAGTCTGTATCTTTCAACTTATTTGAGCTACCTTACTAAGACAGGACGTACTAAACAGAGGACATCCTGGGCTTATTGGGTGGTGTTTGCGTGGTGTTTGGGTGGTGTTTGGGGGCCTCTTTTAGCTCCAAAGAGGAAGGAAATAACCAAAAAAGTCTTCTGATATCTTGAATGAAAATCTGATTAACTGATGATCGACTGATGTCGACTCACAATTTAAAACTGTGATGTGGCGTTCCTCAGGGATCCGTGTTAGGACCACTGAAGTTCATTTTGTATGAATAATATGCATAAATTTGAAGAACATTACAAACAACAGCTAACAGGCTAATGTGCTGTGGTGATGACTTGGAACAACTTCAGGATGTAAAAATTAAATAAATTAAAAACCTGGGTTGATAATAACAAATTAATATTTAACTTAAGTAAAACTAAATATATGATATTTGGAAACTGCTGGATCTACAGCAGTGAGATGATTATGATAAATAATATTGAATTTAAAAAATATAATTCTAATTAAATTTCCATGGTTGATAATAAATATGAAACTATGCTGGAAGCCACAAATCAACTATATTAAAAATTAAATATTTACATTAGTTTTAATACCATACAAGAGTAAAACAGAACAAAAAAACTCTTATAGACTTAAATCGGTAAATAAGTCGTTTGGTTTTTCTGCTTCATTCAGGGAATATTGCTCATCTAGCTGTTGCTCCATTATTATTGTAACACTAACTATAGCCATGAGAAAGACGGTAGCTTGTATAAAGCTCAGTTTTCTGATTGGTTGCTTTTATAACAGTAAGTGTTAAACTTCTACCTATTCCCTTTGAAACTTATAAATATTTATTTACACCATCATGAGTTTGTGTTTCATATCCAGAGATGTATTTTATTTTGTAAAATACTATCTGTCCGTCTATTAAATAAAATGTTTAGACCCAAGCCACTGTATTGAATATTAAATGGGTACAACTGCCCACTTTCTCCCATTAGTCTTTTCTCAAATAACCAAAAAGACACAAAAATGTGTTTTAAGTTTCTTTTTTGCAAACTTACTAAAAGCATAAACTGAAATCTTTCATTTACACGTAGTCTGACTCTTTGCTGTGGCTCTAAGATAAGCAGATAGAAGCCCCTCTACCACACACAGCTGTATAGATTTCAACTCAATGTTCAAAAGTCTATTTTGACTGAATGGATATATCATCATTGTGCTTCACTGCGGTCACATAAAATGTTGTATACAGTGATAAATGAGTGCAGAAAATTCAAATTTCAAATTTCTCCCACAGTTGCTCGTTTAGTCCTCGCAGCTTTGAGCTTCACCGATGATGTTTTTTCAGGTCTAATTAAAAAGGCAACGAGTTAAGGGGCTAATTAACCTTGATTGGAGTCCATATGTGGCAAAATGAACGTACGGGACAGCGTTTAGGAAAAGCAAACCCATGTGTACAAGGTTCCACCATCCACACGGTCACAAGGCAAACATGAGGACAAGGACACGTTTATCCATTAAAACTAAATCCAGAGCAAAATGTGATCTGAATGCTGTCTGGATGCATGTAAGATGTAAATAGCAACGCACATAAACTTTCCTGGTTTTGCCTAGCAACAGGAGTTAAGACAACTTTAATTTAAGCTGCTATAATCTAAATCACATGACCACAAACCCCATATGTATCAGATCTCAGACTGTAGATAGCTGCTGCTGCTGCTGTTAAGGTCTGTCAGTGGGTTAAAGAAGTGGAGCACTCTAATGAGAACGCCACTTATGGCAATCAAGCAACACTAATACCATATTTAATCATTAAAAGATTAACATGGGAGTCATACGACTGTGTCAATAAAGGTCTCAGGATATTTCACACACTTGATTCAAGCCTTCAGTGAAGCAATTTGTAAAAAGACTTTTTGAGCAAATAGACCCATAAATAGAAACTGGCCACATCTTCAGTATTTAACCAGTAATAACCTGAAATGTTTTCCTCCTATTTAAAACATGTTTTGTAGTTTTACCTCTGAGGCAGCTGACTTTCACAGGGTTGAGCGGTCGTCTTTCCAGGCCCGCCTCTCCTGAGTGGACCGACCGCTTCCTTTTGCCTAAACCACAGGAGAACTTGAGCTCATCTGTGGTGAAGACGTAGCGAATCAGATAGCGCAGCAGCCGTCTGCCATCTTTCTTAGAGGAGTTGACAGCTTCGTCCCACTGCTTATTCGTGATGAAGAGCGGATAGTTCTCCAGCAGCTGTTTGCTGCCCTGTGAGGAGGAGGAGGACTAAAGATGTTGCTTCCATGACATTTCTATCATGTAATTAAAAAACAAGAAGTTAAAACACAAACCTCAAAGACTGTTTGCCGCTCTTCTTCCTGTATAGACAGAGCTTTTAATCTCACATCACTTCACAGTTATCAGCATGAAGACGTTTCTAATGCACTGCTGACCTGATGTGATATTTCCCCACCTTAAGATATGCTACTGATGACATCTGCTCTGAATAATGAAGAGGCGGCGGCTTCCTCACCTCTGTGAGCTGCTCCTCTGGCATCGGCTGGGCCAGCTGGTTGTGGAACTCGAGAACAGTCTTGAAGTAGTCGAGAACATTTTGACAGGGAACTGTGCAAAAACAAGCGAACCAGAAATAGAAGCTCGGTGTCACAATCGCAGCAGAGCACAGAAACAACCCATCTGCTGCATTTAAACACTGATACCTGCTGTGTTTTCTTCCTTTTTAACAAATCTTTACAACCTCATTTTTCACGATCAGACACTGTACACAGATTTTATGTGCAGTTAAAATAAGTTGTTTTAGTGCAAACTGGGCTAGCGTGACAACAGGGAGCTCCGAGTGCTTTGGGAGCAGACAAGGTAACAAAAATAGACGCTTTGAACACAACTGTGGGATGCATTTAGATCGCAAAAGCATGAGGAAGAAAACGAATGAAGCACTTCCTAATAATGTGTTGACCTCACAAGCACATTTAGTGCTCAGTGTGTTTCACAGATGAAAACAAACACTCATGTAAACGCTGTAAGAAAGACGACACGTGTGGATTTGAATTTAAATGTTTATATTAGAATCAGTGATGATGTCAGCACAAACGTTCTGCATGTTACGTGTATATGAGTAGATCAGAGTATAAAGCAAACCAACTACCCAGAAGCCCTCGATAACAAGCTTTGATGTGTATGATCGGTACTGATTAATGCCGTGCACGTGAAATCAAAAGTCAGATGGCAGCATATAAAAAAACGATTTGTGGGATGAAGAGATTTGCTATCCCCAGCTGAGTGAGGATTAAAGCAGTCATCACTGCGTCCTGCTGTTTTTACTGCACCTGGGATGTTCTCCAGCTTGTTGCGGAGCTCCTCGTTCTCCTGCTGCAGAGACAACACCTCCTGCTCTAGCTCCAGGCAGCGAGGACAGCAGTTCTCCTCCTCCTCCTCTTCCTCAGGCAGTGTGGACGAGGGGTGGCCGTATGATTCTGATGGGGTCGGGGAGCCCCATCCTCCCAGGTTGTGTCTTGGAGGAGACGCTCCTGAAGCAGACTCAGGTGCCGGGCACTGCTCGTCCTCCAGACTAGCAGACAGATGTTGCTGCTGCTGAGGTCCTGAGAGCAGATAGTTCTGTAGGGAGTCTGTGAAGATGCGGAGAACTGCAGAGGTCTGGTGTTGGTTCAAATGGCTTTGTTGAGCCTCCTCCTCAGGGTCTGTGGTGGAAGAGCTCTCCTCGGATTTAGACTTCCCCTGTGAGGAGCAATGAAGCCCCTGAGTGTCCCCTGGCCCGTCTTCCAGCTTAATGTTAGAGGTGATGGAGGAGGAGGAGGAGGGCTCCAGGAGACGCCCGTTGTTGAGGAGGCTGAGGACTCGGCTGCACTGCTGGGCGAAGGCATCTAAGATGAGCCGGTTCTCTGAAGCAGACAACAGACAGTCACATTAGCAGTCAGTCGTTGGGTTTAAGATGAGCTGCTTGTGTTTGCAGAGTCACTCAAGCAAACATTACCCTCAACGTCCATTTATAAGAATCAATGGAGCTTTTGGCTTTTTCACATGCGCCCTGCTGACTAACCAATGCAATCAGTTAACAGACAGACAGTCCTGAAGTGACAGGGTTTCAGGACAAGTGAGCAAACTCAGGTCACTGCTGAGAATAGTGATAAGCTCAAAAGCTGCAGACAAGTCCTCGAGGAGTTTGAGGCTTGAAATAATTTCTTTGTTGGCTACTAGCAGCAGTAATCCTTCAGGACACACACATGCAAAGTATAGCCCGTGCCCACCATTCATACCTCAGAGATGAGCACACATTACATTTCCTGTATCAAACGCTGCGTGACGACAGTGGACTAAACAGTTTAAGTGCTGCAATTATTAAAACACCTTGAAAAGCTACAACTGTAAAACCCTCTGAAATGTGAACAATCTAGTAATGTCATGTACGGTGTGACGTGCAGCAGTAGTACTTCTCTTTTTGTACGGCTGCTTTTACAGCTCATGAGCTGGAACATAAATCGGAGGCTGACATCCGAGTTTTTTATTTTTTAAAGAAGGGTTTTGTCTGTCCGGGGCAGCACAGTTAGAGGTTAGCACCATCGCTGCTTGTGTGGGATTTCTCTGCTTTCTTTCCAGAGACATGCTTGTTTGCTTAACTAGTGATTGCAGATTGAATGTGAGTGTGAACGATTGCCTCTCTCTGTGGGTTCGCTCTGTGTTGTGACCTGTCCAGGATGCACCTGCATTTTGTTCAAACGTAAAGGAAATCGATGTTATGGGTGTTATTTCATTTCTGCAGGACCTTAAGTTTAAATCTAAGGTCAAAGTGCAAGAAAAAGCAGAGCCAGGACAGAATAACTCGCAGCGCGAGCACAGATTTCTGTGATTTCACTTCTCTTAGTAAGATTTTAAACAAAGCATTTTTATGCCTCAGTTTATCAGTTTAAGAAGAATCTGACCTTCTTGCAGATTTGATCACCTCTCCTTGTTATAGCGAGCTCTGTGTTTGCTACTTTAAATCTTACATCTTCACTCTGCTGTCACCTATACAGGCTCTGCCTGGGTGCAGGAAACATAAACGCCTGAAAGACAAACTACAGGCAGCTGAGCAGATGACATCTAATCTAGAAGGTTTTAAAAGGTCAGCTGTCAGAATGGGGATGCTTCTACCTGATGCAATAAGAAGAACATAAGTATATCTATATTGTTTTACTTTGCATCTGCGTCTCCAAATTGGTCGATGTAACTAATACATCCACAACACTAAAGTGTTTACAGGGAAATGGTTTTGCTTGGATTGCATAGAAACCTAAATCAGGACAGATGCCTCAGCTAAAGCGACGTGCTGTGTTAAGCCGCTGGTTTAATCTCCAGTTTGTGTTTGTTTTTCAGTAACCAATAACTTCTGCTGACAGACGTCCAAGTTCTGAAATGCATTGAAGCACGAACCCTCGCTTGTAAAGCAAATCAGATTTGAGGTTCTTGATGAAACATGTTGTACTTTTCAGCAGTGCTGAAACAGAACGCTCTGAGCTGCTGCAGCAACAGTGTGAGTGATTGTGTGCATCGGGTTTGTAGTTTGGACTCTTTCCGCCTGCCTTTACTCTCTGCTCTCTTTTGCTCTCTGCCACATCTTATTGAGGCAAAGTGTTGCATTAGAGCAGCAGACACTTGGCTCCTCTGTTCATGGAAATGTCAGCTTGATTATACAGATTTATTCAGATGTCAATAAACTCGAAAGTCACAGTTTCTCAAAATGAGCGCGGAGCTATTGTCCAGAAACA